TCCCCTTCTCATAAGGTGGGTCTTCATGTCAAGGCCCCCCCCTAACGCACAGATAAGCAGCACTCCACAGTGTCCAAATTCATAGTGATTGGTGGTCCCTTACTAAAGTAGTTTTCACTTTCACAATGACTGCTTACACATCAGCACGCCTCTACCACGTGCTCTTTCCTTGGCAGCCTGATATTTGAACCCAAACAACATAAACGTGATTACATGCGGTATTTCAGGACAGTTTCCAGTTTCAATGGGAGAATTGGTACTTTCTTCTGTTGCCTTCCCATTCTCTGTCTATTTCCTTAGCATTTGGAAGCCAGAGTCCTCGGTCCTTTGCTACCAGTTGTTGTTTTCTTCCCCTAGCTGGAGTTCTCTTTATTACTACTTTTTTATTTCCAGTTTGTCTCTTTTTAAAACTAAAACATGATGAAACCCTGTCTCTTCAAAAATACAAAAATTTGCTGGGCGTGATTAGGTGCCTGTAATCCCAGCTGTTTGGGAGACTGAGGCAGGAAAGTTGCCTGAACCCGGGAGGTGGAGGTGGAGTTGGAGTCGGCCGAGATCGTGCCATGCACTCCAGCCTGGGTCAAGAGTGAAACTCCATTTCAAAAATAAATGAATAAATAAATAAATAAAATGTTAAATTAAGCTTAGCTAACCTGTGTAGACGTTTTAGATGGTCACATCTTTATTGAATATGACATTTATGCCTCTTAGTAAAACCATTTTAATACTGTAAGAAAAAAAAGGGGCTGGATGCAGTGGCTCACGCCTGTAATCCCAGCACTTTGGGAGGCTGAGGTGGGCAGATCACCTGAGATCAGAAGCTCAAGACCAGCCTGGCCAACATGACAAAACCCCATTTCTACTAAATGTACAAAAATTAGCTGGGCATAGTGGCAGGCCCCTGTAATCCTAGCTACTCGGGAGGTTGAGGCAGGAGAATCACTTGAACCCAGGAGGCGGAGGTTGCAGTGAGCCAACGTGGTGTCACCTCACTCCAGCCTGGGAGATAAGAGCAAGACTCCATCTCAAAAAAAGAAAAAAAGGAAAGTATGCTATGGAAGTATGCTACTTCTATGTAATTCTGTTTCGTGTGTCTATTTCTACTGAAGCGTGGCCTTTACTTGAGATTGTCATTGGCTCCCGAGTCCCATCCTGTTTGTTCATTGACTTTGTGTCAGGTACTGTGTTAGGTGTGTTAAGTGGAGCTACAAGATGAATAAGGCATGGTCCCACACTCCACGTGGGAGATGGCACATCAGTCTAATTAGGATGCACACTACTGGCCCGATAGAAGATGGGACGGGCAGGAGGGTAGCCGACTCTCCCTGAAAGCATCAGGACAAGCTTCCAGGAAATGGTGTATCTAAGCTGAGACTTGGACAGCAGGTTAAAGAGGCAGAGAGGGGCAAGAGGAATGTTCCAGATGGGAGAAGAGAACTGGAGGTGATGACGAGTAACATAGCGTGTGTGGGCTCTGCTGGAAACTTGATATTACAGAAGCATGAAATTTGAAGCAGGGGGTGTGGAGAAAGATGAAGGTAGGGGAGGGAAGTTTACCCGAGGGTGGCCTTGACTTTATATACTAAGGTGCTTTAGGGGAAGCAAGAACCAGTGAAGACAGGAGAACATGGTGACTACGCAGGAGTATTATGGGGGAGAGGAGCTATGGGGGTTTGTTTGTTTGTTTGTTTGTTTGTTTGTTTGTTTGTTTGTTTGTTTTGAGAGAGTTTCAGTCTTGTTGGCCAGGCTGGAGTGCGATGGCATGGTCTCGGCTCACCACACAACCTCTGCCTCCTGAGTTCAAGCGATTCTCCTGTCTCAGCCTCCTGAGTAGCTGGAATTACAGGTGTGCACTACAACACCCAGCTAATTTTTTGTATTTTTAATAGAAACAAGGTTTCACCATGTTAGCCAGGCTGGTCTTGAACTGCTGACCTCAGGTGATCTGCCAGTCTTGGCCTCCCAACGTGCTAGGATTATGGGGAGCTAGATTTTTGAAGGGAATTTGAGTTTTCAATTTTTCAAGGGCATTCGATGGTTATAAATGAAATTTGTCATTAATATATTTGTGTCTACGTGTTTTAAAACATGTTTTTCTGCTACTCTCTTTTTATTTGGTTTGGAGATAGATGATGACATTCCTTCAGTGCCCTCTATGTGCCTGCTATGTTAATGTCTCAAACACACATGGGCCATCTCATCATGGAGCTTGCCGGCTGACAGGGTAGTTTAATGTATAAACATGCATCCATTTGGGAAGAACTTAGAGATCACTTGATCAGCCCCATTATGTAAAATGTATGCAACAATCTACCTCCAACTACAGGGCGACATGAAACAGGTTTTCAAAATACCATAACAGGGAAAAAATGTGTGACATTTGGGTTCCTCCAGTCCCACTCCTCAGTACTGATCAGGCCAGTGAACAAGTCTAGCTGGTGAAACCTCTCCCATCATGATGGTTGATTTCTCTTCATCTTGACCATTTCTGCCCTGGCTCTGTCCTTAACCTGTGAATCTCTTTCCTCCCTCCCCTTCCTCCGCTTGACCTTTGCCTGCCATACCCAACTCCTCATTTCTCTGCTTAGAAAAATCCTACTTGCTCCTCAGAGCCTGACTCCCATCACCCCATTTCTCCACACCTCCCAGGCAGACTCATCCCTCCCCGTGCCCCCCCTCCAGCTCTCTCTAGTTGAATAGCAGATGTTCTCTCTCCCACTTCCCTGCAGGGCTTCTCGGTAGTGACCGTAAGAATGAGCTTCTACCAGTGAGAAAAATGCATGGATGTAGCAGGAATTCCCACAAATACTTAGGAGTTCAGTACAATTTTTAGCAAGTGGGAAAATTACCGTTTCTGTTCCAGTGATGTGAACTGTCTTTGTGAGTTCTCAGTACGCACCCAGAAAACAAAACAAAACAAAATAAAAAAAACGACAACCCAGTGACTTGGTCATTTACCTGCTCCATCTCACGTAATGCTTCCAACAAGGACTTGCCAAGGCTGCGTAGCTGGAAGGGACCCAGAGTCCTGTCTGTGTGCTAACCTGCAGGGCAGCCCTGTGTAATCCAGTATTGTGGCCTTGTTGTCCAGCCCTCCACCTCCAGGAGCCCACTCAATGATGACTTTTGACAAAAGTCACCTGGATTATCCCTCTTTTGGGGTCCATGATGCCACCAACATGCTAAACCTGACAAATGCGTTGCCAGGGTACCGCTGAAGTAAGGATTGTTACTGTAAGTGATTTTCCCTGATTTTGACCACTACTAATAAAATCACAAGAATTGTCCCAAATACTATATGAAAAGGAATGTCTTTTATTTCTCAAAAGTGTTCCGCTACATAGTTTGTTTAAATAACACATAATAAAGGATACACATAATAAAGTGTAAAATGCTTGTGGCTATATTTATCCAAAATGAACATTTTTAAAGTAATTTTTTAAATTTGTCGAAAGCATATATCAATGGTCATACGCATTTTTTATATCCTTTGGCCCCATTACCTTACCCTGGGGAATTTATTCCAAGAATATGATTTGAAAGAGATTAAAGCTCATAGGCACAGACATTTTCAGTGCAGCATTGTTTATGTTGGAAACAGCCCAAAGGTTCAGTAACGAGGGGAACAATTTCGTAAATCTTGCTACAGCAACTTAACGAAATTATAAGCTGCCATTTATAATTATAAATTTGGAAAGTTTATGGTACAACAAGAAAGTCTGTAGTCCAGCAAGAAAACTGATCATGTTCAATGTTCCTGATTTCTTAGTTTTTCTCCCGCCGATTCTTATCTGTGTCCCGGTCATACTGTCAGTGTGTAAGTGCATGTTTAATAAACATTTACTTTTTACTACATCGTAGTATTCCCTTCTTAGGGTGGTTTGCTTCCCTGATTTTAATGGACTTCCGTGTCGCCTGGGGCTCTTATTACACTGTTATTCTGATTCCGTAAACTTTATGGGGAGCCCCAGATTCCACACTTCTTAGAGGCTCTCACGTACTGCTGATGCTGTTGGGTCATGAATCTCGCATTGAGTTGCAAGGGCCTAGAGCTATTTGTATATGAAGAAGATGCTACCGACCCAGTGCCTCATGTTATCTTGAAAGGCAGCTGTGACCTTTCTAGCAACTGAAGGGGTGGGGACTAGAAATGAGTGTTTTCTGGTGTGTCTCAAAGCTACTGTCTTGTATCCAGATTTATCAGCAGGGTCCTTATGCCCTTCAACTAACTTGAAATTGGTCGCTTAACATAAATGACTGGGTGGCACTAAAATAAATTATTCTTTATATAACGAGTGAGAAAAGGCCTGGCATGGTGGCTCATGCCTGTAATCCCAGGACTTTGGGAGGCCAAGGCGGGTGGATTACCTGAGGTAAGGACTTTGACACAAGCCTGGCTAACATGGTGAAACCCCATCTCTACTATAAATACAAAAAATAAAAAATAGCTGGGTGTGGTGGTGGGAGTCTCTAATCCCAGTTACTTGGGAGGCTGAGGCAGGAGAATTGCTTGAACCCCAGAGGTGGAGGTTGCAGTGAGCTGAGATTGTGCCATTGCACTCCAGCCTGGGCAACAAGAACGAAACTCCATCTCAAAAAAAAAAGAATAATCATAAGAAGAAAGGGTCTTCTATTGTAATCATAATTATACTGTCAGTGTCCTTTGATACAATTTGGAACCTGATTATGAAGTTGAAAATCCCCATTTTATTAAGAAAAGCTTTGCTGTGTGTGAGTTACGGTACTGGAAGAAAAGTCTTGGCCTGGCCGTGGCAAGGATTCCTCAGGCCTGGTGGTGTGAAGCATAGGAGGGCACCCACCATCTCTTTAGGGCAGAGAATGGAGAATGTTTCTTTGGCAGTGGGGAAATCAGCTCACCGTTGTGTTGGTAAACACAAGGAATTTCAGCTGTCCTTTGAGCTTGAATCGTAGTGGTGATTGCCGAAACCTACTTTCGTTTTTAGAAAGTAATAGCACATACTCCACTTGCTTCCCCGCAGTGACTGAAGCTGGCTTTGGTGCTGACATTGGAATGGAGAAATTCTTCAACATCAAGTGCCGCGCTTCCGGCCTGGTGCCCGACGTGGTTGTGTTGGTGGCAACGGTGCGGGCTCTGAAGATGCACGGAGGCGGGCCCAGTGTAAGTGCGCACACCGCCTTCCCAATACCGAAGCGGTTTCACTATGTTAAATCAGAGTTTCGCATTTGAAAAGTTTCTGCCTGTTTAATGACTGTAGTTTTCTAGAGTATTTTTCCTGCAGACCTCCTTTGTGGACATTTAAAACTTTTTTTTTTTATCAACACCACTATAGAGCACTTCGAGTTGAGTAAGTTCGAGTCAAGAGTAACACCCACAGTTCTTTCTAAGCAACATTTTGGAAAGGAGCATAATGCAGCCACTTTTTAGTCTTGAGCTTCGTGTCTGATACTCAGGCCAAGACTGTATATCCATATGGTAATGGGAGGTTAGAGGCTCCTGTCCCTGAACAAAGAACATAAGGCTTAGAGTGAGTTCTTTGATGACTGAAATTTTTCAATGTTTGTAGATAGTTTTTTGGTTCACTGATGCTGCAGCTCATCAGATTTCATCTAAAACTATTTTCCTTCTCTTTCTGTTTATTATGATTTCTTCTCGCAATTCCGTTATAATACTGGATTGTTTCTAAGTGAGGTTTGCTTGGAAAACACAAATAACTATTTTAACTTCTTTGAAGACTTTTGATATTTATCTATCCTAATATATATAGAAATTACAGACATTATAAAGGAAAAATATATTTCTTTTCACAGAAAACCTGTGCATAGATTTTTGGGGTTTGTTTGGTTTTTTTATTTTTGTTTGTTTCAGTTTTAGGAATCTCCAAGTGGAAGATAAAACCTTTTTTACTGATGAGTCATTTTGAAATAAAATAAAGTCCCTTTATCATTAAAATATTCACATATGAGATGAACTGCCAAATCTGATTTCTTTATTGGTATACTGTACTGTGTATGTGACAAAAGGCATCTATTCAAGGATTATTGCATAGTAAAAACAAATAGCAGGTTTGCCATCATGAAATGCTGTAAAGCAGTTCTTTGTCCTGGGAGAGGTGGACATTATTTTTTTTTTGAGACGGAGTTTCGCTCTTGTTACCCAGGCTGGAGTGCAATGGTGCGATCTCGGCTCACCGCAACCTCTGCCTCCTGGGTTCAGGCAATTCTCCTGCCTCAGCCTCCTGAGTAGCTGGGATTACAGGCCCGCGCCACCATGCCCAGCTAATTTTTTGTATTTTTAGTAGAGACGGGGTTTCACCATGTTGACCAAGATGGTCTTGATCTTTTGACCTCGTGATCCACCCGACTCGACCCATTATTTTTATATCATTTTACAGATAAGGAATCTGAGGTTTGGTTGGCTTAGGGAACATGGACAGTGTCACCAGGCCAGCAGAGAGCCAAGGACTTTGGATCCAAATCTCTCCCTTTGGCCACCATGCAGAGCTAAATGTTAGTGAAGGACAGTGTTCTAAATCCAAACACCCTCCTCATACCCGACACTTAAGCCCTTTATTTTCACCTAAAGCTTCATCATCATTTCAAATGCAAGAATGAAAAGCAGTAAATCATAAAGAATTCTGACTTTACTCCAAACACCTCTTGCTGCAGTTCTTCCTGGATTTCAGGCAATGAATCTGTATAACAACTTCTTTTTTTTTTTTTTTTCTTTTTGAGACAGAGTTTCGCTCTTGTTGCCCAGGCTGGAGTGCAATGGTGCAATCTCAGTTCACCACAATCTCCGCCTCACAGGTTCAGGCAATTCTCCTGCCCTGGCCTCCCAAAATGCTGGGATTACAGGCCTGCGCCACCACGCCCAGCCTAATAAGTGCTATTTTTAAAAGCTACTCCTACCTATGTAGGATGCATTTGGAATTAGCCCTCCCTGCCCTGCTGCCCTGAAAATTATAAAATCAAAGCACTTTACTACTGGAAAGGGTTTAGAGATTGCCTGGTCTCTTTTAGTCTCGATAAAGAGATTATCTCTGAGACACAGAGAGATCCAGTGGTTTGTGTAACATCACGCATCTATTTCAGGGACTGATCAGACCTACAGTCAGAGTCTCTTGACGTCAGTCCCTTGGTTTTCCAGACTCTGGTCTCTGTCCTGTAAAAATTCTCTACGTGTTTACAATCCTATTTCATTTTATCTGAATGTATGTGCTCTGTTATTCAGTGGTTGCATTTTCGTCCCACATTAATCCTTTGTGTCTCTTCCACTCTGGCTTAATGTCATGATTCTCAGCCAGTGATCATGGTAACAAGGAACGGGTTAGCAGGCACAGATAGGGATAGAGAATAAGAAAAGATAGGGACCAGCCAGGCGTGGTGGCCCACACCTGTAATCTCAGCACTTTGGGTGACTGAGGCAGATGGATCACCTGAGGCCAGGAGTTCGAGACCAGTGGTGGTGGGGTGCCTATAATCCCAGCTACTCGGGAGGCTGAGGTGGGAGAATCACTTGAACTCTGGAGGCAGAGGCTGCAGTGATCTGAGATCCCACCATTGCACTCCAGTCTGGGCAACAAGAGTGAAACTCCATCTCAACAGAAAAAAGAAAGAGAAGGTGGGGACCAGGAAGCTCTGTGAAGCTAAGCGTCCCTCTATTGGGCCCCAGTAGTACCTTCTGCTTCATACTGTTTCATGAATGTCTTGTTCTCTGTCTCCCTACGTCATTCTTATTTCCTTGAGTCTGGAGACTGTGTCATATTGATTAGTATGTTCCAAGTGTCTGGCGTAAATCTGTATGCAGGGAGCGTTTTCAATAATAGAAAGATAAATGACTTTCATCCCTTATTCTTCTTCTGTAGTGCTCTTTTTGGTATCCTTCATTCTTACTTGACCTGCTCTGTATTTTTGAGGCATGATTATTCATTTCTACTTCTGTTTTCTTTTTTTCTTCTTCTTTTTTTCCGTTTCTACTACAAATACTGTGCTGGGATAGACTTCCTTTTGATCATTACACAAATAACCATGGCAGCCTCTTATGTTTATTCAGCTTGGTTTTTTCCATAATTTGTGCAGTGGAAAATCCTGTGGCCCTTGAATTTGCCCATTTTAGCCTCAATCATTTTAAACTCACATCCTGTCCCCCAAAGTGCTCGCCAATCCCGGTGCAATCTAAGAACTAATACTCTGTTATGCTTTGGTCTCCACAGATTCTTTCACAATTAGTTCTTTAAACCCATCGTATGAATCAGGGTTCTTCACACATAGAACCTATAGGATGTGTGATTAGAGAGAGAAATATATTTATTATAAGGAATTGGGTCATATGATTACAGAAGTTGGCAAGTCCAAAATCTGCACCGTAGGCTGGCAAGCTGAAGACCCAGGAGAGCCAGTGGTGCTAATGCAGTCTGAAGGCAGCAGTCCACTGCAGAATTCTCCTGTGCTCAGGGGACGCCAGTCTTTTTGTTGTGTTCGCAAACGCCTTTGACTGATCAGTTGAGACCCACCCACATTATGTAAGGCTACCTGCTTACTCAAAGGCTGCTGATTTCCATGGTAATCACATCTACAGACATCCTCACAGAAACACCCAAAATGTTTGAACAAATATCTAGGCACCCTAGGACCCAGCTAAATTGACTTATGAGATTAACCAGCAAGACCAAGCACAGTGGTTCACACCAGTAATACCAGCACTTTGAGAGGCCAAGGTGGGAGGACCGCTTGAGTCCAAGAATTTGAGACCAGCCTGGGTAATATAGTGAGATCTCATTTGTACAAAATAATAAAAAATTATCTGGGTGTGGTGATGCACAACTGTATTCCGAGCTACCTGGGAGGCTGAGGCAGGAGGATCACTTGAGCTCAGGACTTTGAGACGGCACTGAGTTGTGATTGTGCCTCTGCCCTCCAGCCTGGACAACAGAGCTTTATGGCAGTTACTGTAAAATGATTTTGAATGGTGACATACTCTGTATAAATCAGGTATTAAACATTTTATTTGTTTTATGTTCCAATTTGAACCAGTGTTTGAGAAGTTTCATACTGTTCCATTGGCTCAAATTCGAATCATCCAGGGAGGTTTTGAACATTACCGATCCCAGATTCCCCTCCCAGAACTGCTTTCATTGGTCTGGGTGGAGCCCAGAGATCGGTGTTTTCTACAAGCTTCCTACAAGCCTTTAGGTATAGCCAGTGCTGCCAGCCACTGTTTTAAAAGCAATCGCCTGTGATTGTGTTGTTCTCTTTCAGATCAGTTGTGTAAGCATTTTTATGGGACGTTCTTCATGTTTTCTCTCCTTATTTCAGGTAACCGCTGGTGTTCCTCTTAAGAAAGAATACACAGAGGAGGTAAGGGAGCTGTTGAGATGCTTGTGTGAAGAATCTCTCAAATCCAGTGGCTGGTTGGCTTACAGTGAATGAGACCACCTCTGTCAGTGGTCTCTTGGAAAAGTGCTGTTCTGGCCAGGCACAGTGACTCACACCTGTAATTTTAGCACTTTGGGAGGCCAAGGCGGGCAGATTGCATGAGGCCAGGAGTTCAAGACCAGCCAGGCAAAGCCCGTGGCCAACACGGCAAAAACTATCTCTACTAAAAATACAAAAATTAGCTGGGATTGGTGGCTCACACCTGTAGTTCCAGCTACTCAAGAGGCTGAGTCACAAGAATCGCTTTAATCCAGGAGGCGGGGGTTGCAGTGAGCTGCAACCAGGACACTGTACTCCACCCTGGGCGACAGAGGGAGACTGTCTGAAAAAAAAGAAAAGAAAAGTGCTGTTCTAAGAATCCAAGAGGAAGTGGGTGGGTTGAAAGGACAAAACTCATTCCATTAACTCTTTACATATCAAGAAAAGATGGATGTAGGCTTTGTCTACTGTTCTCTACCTCCAGGGCAGCCATTAGAGCAGGAGCTCAAGGTCTTCAGGTCATAAACAAATAGGAAGCTTATACTTGTGTATTCCTTTGTCATGGAAGGTTTACATACCGTTGGCTTTACGGCTTACAGGAGTGGCTTACACATTTCTGTAAACAGACTGTGATTTACTGGCAGCAGTACCTCTTACCTCCTACAGGTGGCGCCAGGGTTCTGAGCCAGAAATACCTGGACAGCGCTCCTCACCCACCTGGAACCTTGTGCCTGTCAGGCCCCAACCTGCAGAGTACGGGCGCGTTGTGTAGATCCTGGCTGGAGGGCTGGGGGGCTGCTAGGCTTCAGACCCACGCTTATGCCATAGGACCCAGAATCATTTTAGAAGTTATTTTGAAGATGAACCTCCTTATTCTTGCAGCCATCATTCTTGGAGGAAAAAGGGAAAAAAGATGCAGCAAATCCTGCCAGGGAGGTGCTGCCAGCGCAGCTTGGCAGGTTTGGAGGGAGGTGATACCCAGGGGTCTGCGTTTTGCTTTGTTCTTTTTGACAGAACATCCAGCTGGTGGCAGACGGCTGCTGTAACCTCCAGAAGCAAATTCAGATTGCTCAGCTCTTTGGGGTTCCCGTTGTGGTGGCTCTGAATGTCTTCAAGTGAGTCCAGCCTCCTCCTTTTAACTGCGGGCGTATCCCTAGGCCACCCTGTGAATGATATTTGTGTCTTGGGGTATTCGGTCTTTCTCTGCTTCGTCTAAAAGTATACAGAAATACCCAGCTTCTCCTATTTGTTTATTTGGTTTGGTTTCATTTTAGCAAATGTCTTCTCACAGCGTTATTAAGGAAGTGAAATTTATATATAGTGAGTTACTATTTCTTTGTTTTTGTTTTTTTTTTAATAATTCTACCCAGCATTTTTGTCTGAAACAAACTGAATGATCAAAGGGATGTGTTATGGAATTTTCTTGATAACACCCTTAACAACTTGAAATATTTGAGTCATGCTGGAGAGGATTTTTTTTTTTTTTCGATGTTTTTCTTTAAGTCTGATTTATTTAAACATGATGTGACCACTTTTGATGTTTAAAATATATTCAGTGTTAGGGAGTGAAATTCTGTAGAAGTGGTTAGTCTTTCTTTAAAAACATCGCTAAATGGATACAGATGCAAAACCACAAACATTTTCTTCACTAGGACCGACACCCGCGCTGAAATTGACTTGGTGTGTGAGCTTGCAAAGCGGGCTGGTGCCTTTGATGCCGTCCCCTGCTATCACTGGTCAATTGGTGGAAAAGGGTCGGTGGACTTGGCTCGGGCTGTGAGAGAGGCTGCCAGTAAAAGAAGCCGATTCCAGTTCCTGTACGATGTTCAGGTAAGATCTAGTAAAAACAATGGCTGGCATTTCTTCCACCTTGGCTTAGGTTGTCCCATTCAGTTGTCACTACAACCCTGCAGATAAGAAAACTAAAGATAGAAGAGTTTAGGCCGGGTGTGGTGGCTCACACTTGTAATCCCAGCACTTTGGGGGGCTGAGGTAGACAGATCACTTGAGGTCAGGAGTTTGAGACCAGCCTGGCAAACATGGAGAAACCCCCATCTCTACTAAAAATACAAAGATTAGGTGGGCATGGTGGCATGCGCCTGTAGTTCCAGCTACTTGGGAGGCTGAGGTGAGAGAATCTCTTAAACCCAGGAGGTGGAGGCTGCAGTGAGCCAAGATCGAGATCAGATCTTGGTGACAGAGTGAGTAACAGAGTGTACTCCAGCCTGGGTGACAGAGTGAGATCCTGTCTCAGACAAACAAACAGGTAGAGGCTTTTAAGCCATGTGACAAGGTCACATTTCCAAGCGCAGACCATAACTCCATGTCCCAAAGACTCCCAAATCACAGGCCTAAGTGAGGAAGTACTTTAGCAAACAGGATTTGACAGATGACACTTTCAGGAGTTGCACAGGAACAAGACTTTTGAGCAACTTCATGAGGCTTGGGAAACCATGGGAGGTATTTTCCTTGTTCATTTCTGTGATGGTCCTTTTCTCTTGTGGTTTCATTGAACTATGTCTAGTGTATGTGTATATATGTATTTTTTTCATTGTGGTAAAATATACGTAACAAAATTTACCATCTTCACCATTTTCAGTGCCCACCAGTAGTGTTAAGTACATTCACACTGTCATGTAGCCGATCTCCAGAACTCTTTTCATTTTGCAAAACTGAAACTTACCCATTGAACAGCAAGTTCCCATGCCCTCCCCACACCCCTGCCAGCCACCATTTTCCCTGTTTCTATGAATTAACAACTCTAGGGACCTCATGTAGGTGGCATCATACAGGAATCATACAGTCTTTCTGTGACTGGCTTATTTCACTCAGCATAATGTGCATGCATGTTGTAGCATGTCGGAATTTCCTTCCTTTTTCAGGCTAAATACTATTCCATTCTTTGGATACACCATATTTTGTTTCTTCACCCATCTGTGGGTGGACACTTGGCTTCCTCCTCTTGGCTATTGTAAATAATGCTGTATGAACATGGGTGTTCATGGCATATGTACACATATCCCTTCAAGACCGTGTTTTTAGTTCTTTTGGACATGTATACCCGGAAGTGGGATTCCTGGGTTGGTTCTCTGGGATAGTTTTAAGCACATGGTGAGCCTTCAGTCAGAAGATCTGAGCTTCCCAGGCAGGGCCCACTCTCCTCAGATCATCTGTCTTTGGACCCCTTTGACGTCTGCATTCTGAATTTTGTGGCTCTGGTTCTGGTTCATGGATTTGTCTTCATGGGTAGTGTGTGATTGCAGAGTGCCCAGGTTTCTTTCTTCCTTTTTTATTGAGACAAGTCTCACACTGTTGCCCAGGCTGGAGTGCAGTGGTGCGACCTTGACTCACTATAACCTCTGCCTCCTGGATTCAAGCGATTCTCTTGCCTCAGCCTCCTGCATAGCTGCAATTACAGGCGCCTGCCACCATACCCAGCTAACTTTTTGTATTTTTTGTAGAGACAGGGTTTTGCTATTTTGGCCAGGCTGGTCTCCAACACCTGACCTCGTGATCCGCCTGCCTCGGCCTCCAAAAGTGCTGGGATTACAGGCAGGAGCCAGCATGCCCGGCCCAGAGTGCCCAGCTTTCAGATTGCTGCTTCTCCTCTTCCTTCATCCCTCACATATTCTATCGGTGTGTCACTCAGATGTCACAGACACTCTTTCCTGATCAGTGGCATAAATCAATAGCATAAGTGAAGAAGAAATCAGTGAAGCAAGAGCTTAGCAGCATTCTCAATAAGCCTGGATTGACAGCAGTGAGAGAGTAGGGCTGATGCATGAATATTTACTATTACCACGGTGCCTGATTAAGGAGGTGTTTGTGTGCCGGGCGAATGGGTGCTTTACACATGCTCACCTTTTTGCTTCTAACATTCCTCTTAGGTGGGAACTGGTGATATCTTCCCATTTCACCGACAAGAAAATTAAAGCACACAGAGACTAAGTCAGCTGCTCAGTGTCCCATAGCACGGCAGAGGCAGGGCTGGGGGAAAGAAAGTGTCCAGAGGGCTGAGGTCATCATCCTGCTCTGTTCTTCAGAACTAAGTACTACGCTCAAAGGTGTGTGTGTATTGAAGGTCCGGGGGGAGATACAGTTGAAGGGGACAGTGACTAAGTGACCTTTCTTGATGAGGAAGGGTGACAGTGACGGGCACAGGCACAGATCCCAAATGCAGCCAGTGCTTATGGAAGGAAGGGCACAGGGAATGAATTGCAGGCTAGCTCAGGAAAGGTTTGTCATTTTATGAAGCCATTCTATAAATAAGGAACTAGAATATTCTAGACTACAGAGGTGGTAGAGATCAATTGAGGGAGAAGATTTTGGATGAGTGAAAAGGAAAATGTTCCAATTGTTAACTTCGAGTTCTCAGACCTAGGGGTGTTCAGCGCAAAACCGATATAGCCCTGCTGTGGGCAAGTCAGAGGCTTTGAAGCCAACTCAGATGGCGGTGGCCAGGGAGACCCTGGGTTCCTGTTCCTTGGTCCTGGGTAAGGGTCAGCAGGGTTCCTACAACCCCTGGCACACGCCAGGGCCTTTCTGCACAAACCACACCCGCAGATCCCACTGTGAGTGTGAGACCGCCTTGCCATCTGATCGTGAACCACCCCACTCTACGTAGCAAAGGCAGTTATTTTCATGAGTGATTTCACAAAGTGTAGCTCTTTTCGAGGAAAACATCCCAGGTGAAAAAGAGGTCAGTTACCAGAGGAAAGGCTTCTGAGTTATACTGTCTCAGACATGCACCAACCCTACGGTGAACCCTTTTAGTTCCACTGATACTTTAATTATTTGTTTTCCTGAATTCCCATTCTTCATGGAGGTAGTGCTGCTAAAATGCCAGCTCTCCTCTGACAGGAGGAAAGCGTTTAAGAATATTGTGGTCTAACGTCCTCTATTGCATAGGCAGCCTTAAGGCCAGGATCGCTGCCTCCTTTGCCAACTCACTCCACGCTTTTCTTGTAACAGAAATTCGATTTGAGCTGAATAATTGTTTGTTAGATAATCAGCCTCCCAGCCTGCTGCAGTGTGATGGTCCATGAAAAGAGCTGCTGCTGGTGCTGCTGCTGGCTCTCTTTGACTGTCTGCCTGTTAGCTACGTTCCTCACACTGGCAAGGTTTAGATCATCTAATACCATTTACAGTCTTGACTTGTTGCCATGTAGAAATCTGAATTCATTGGTGCAGTCAGTAATAGAGCTCAATCCTTCTTCCCCCTGATTTCTTGCATGGGTTGGTGCTGGTAAAACTTTAGTAACTAATTGTGGTTTTCTGGAGGCCCTTTTTCCTCCCCACCACCCCCCACTCTCCCCACCAACCCTTGGATACTGGGCAGTGAGAAAGGTGTGACATTGCTCTACAGGAAAAAGAAATAAAAAGTGCTTCTACATGGAGCACTCTCCTGCCTTTGCTTCTCAGTGCAAACTGGGTGTCTGCGTGCCCTTTGCTGTCTCCCCAGACTTTATAGCCCCAAGAATGTATTCAGTCGAAGACTGATGGCGTCTTGTGGGCTGTTCTTTCTCCACCCCAGTCTTGTGTTGTGGAAGGAAAACACCTGAGATCATTTAGGGGAATGAGGATTAGCGTTAGAGCCCAGGGCGTGACTGCATTTGTGTGCAAAGTGGAAACGGACTCAGAACCCCTGTGGAAAGTGGTTTAGCTGGAGAGAGTGGGGCTGCTGGCTCTCGGAGACTCTGGGTGGCAGACACCAGTGTGCCGGACTTCCTGATGGCGAGCTCACAGGTTAAGCGAGAAACCCGCTGCACTTCTGACTTGGGGGTCTCAGCTGAACTTGAGAGAAAACTGACTTCAGCAGCAACCGCTATCTAGAGAACCATTTGGCATCTCTTTGCCACAGTAACTTCTAATCCAGGAGTAGGCCACTTTTAAATATGGTACCAGATGGAGGCAGCAATTAATAATTCAGAACAAAGATTGAAAAATAGGGAATAAGATGTAGTAGACTAATTGCTCAAAAGGAGTTTGTTGTGTGAACATTCATGTGTTCAAACTTGACATACAGCGGGCCATTTTCTCTCTTACCCTGGAGGGTGATTGCAATCCCTTTAAGAAGCTGTTAAAAGTCCCCTTCAAAATCATCTTCTCTTTGACTTTTCCTTTTCTAATGTGACTTTTGACAATGATACCTTTATTATTCACTAGTATTATATCTCCGTATCTGTAGTCACACAGGGAAATATGATGACTGAAAGAAAACTAATCTATATGCGCGCTTAATTTGCTAAGAAATCCCTCCTCCATAGGTTCTTCCAGCCGTATCTCCACACATCCCCGCTGCTGTGTGAGCTCAGGTCTGTGATATAGATGGAAAGGTGATGGACTTGTCCGTAACAAATGGACGCTTGACGGGAGAAGGAACATATTCGATAGAGCCAACAGGCTAAAGCTTTGGGATCATGCAAATTAAGTTTAAACCCTGAGCAGGCCTCCTACCATGGACACAGTTTGGGGAAGCCGACTCATCTCTCCAGCCTCAGCATCCTTACTTGTACAGTGGTGTCTGACAGTGACACCAACTTCACCAAGTTGCTATGAGACCCAAATGGAATGTCCCAGAGTAAAATGCTGGAACATAGAAAGCAGGCAATGAAGGCTGGATCAGGCCTGTAACCCCAGCAGAAGCCAAGGTGGGTGGATCACCTGAGGCCAAGAGTTCGAGACCAGCCTTGGAAACGTGGTGAAACCCTGTCTCTACTAAAAATACAAAAACTAGACAGGCATGGTGGCAGGTGCCCGTAGTCCCAGCTACTCAGGAGGCTGAGGCAGGAGGATCACTTGAACCCGGGAGGCAGAGGTTGCAGTGAGCC